CCTGGGAAAGACTACATATTCCCATCCTCACGTGAAGGCATCCAAGCTAAAGCGAATGTTGATGTACCCACAAGTTTTTTTTTGGTTTTTCTTGGAATATGGGATGAAGTGAGGATTCAGCCAATTACATAAATTACATAATATAAGCATGGCTTACCTGACTTGGGTGTCGCTGCCACCCAAAAGAATTTAGCGTGGTCCCAACCATGAAATCAACCAGACCAGGCCGGGCTCCGAGATTAAGGGCAGCTGTTGGCTCGGGGTCCTCAACATCTCCCCAGCACAATGCTTATGAACTCGGTGTGTAATCGTGGCAGGGCGATTGGAAAGATGGGTCGATTGATTCTGTCAGGGGTCATGATCGGGTATACATACATACAAACATAGATCATTGGGGTCAATATTAATCAAACAAACCTCTGAATATCTAGATTCTTCTTGTAGTTTCTATTTCAGATATTGTCATATAACTCTGTAATATATATAAGTACCTGATCGACATTGTATATCTATCTAGAAAAGACCGCCGAAACCGCGAGAGCTCGGATTAGAATTGCATATTGAAGTGTGTGGTTTTGCGGGCCAAAAAAAAAGTCCCCAACGAAATCTCGCCGAAAGCAGCGACCGCCGACCCTTCGAGAACGCGCCCATTTACTTCCTTGATATCTTCTTCTCCTTCTTCTCCTTGCTCTCTCTCTTCTCTTCCTCTCCATTAACTCTCCCGATTAATTCAATTGACTCGCCATCTCAACCCCATCTTTATCGTCGCCATAATCATCATCATTATCATCATCATCACGGTATGTTTTCAACTCGATGCTAATTTGAAGAGGTGCTTGTCGTTTGTTACCGAGCTACTCAAAGCTCCCTCGCAGGTAGCTCTGCTCTGTGGTTTAGCGGCAGGTACCTTTTCGGCACCTGATTCTGGACCAGGGTCTTCTCTGGTCCCAAGCTTCCCTTTATACCCAAGTAACCGTGCTGACCGTTCTTTATCTATCACAAGCCAGAAAATTCACATCCTTTTTCCTCTGCATTTCTCGCGCGATAGAATTTTAGACCCTTGTCCGGGAACAACTCTCTCTCTCTCTCTCTCTGTGACATTTTTCTTCTGCCTGTCCGTCAGTCTCTCTGGGTCTTCCTCCTCCTCTTGACCCTCTCCGGCGACCGGATCTTTTTATCTTTTATTCCAACACTGCTATTCAAAACCGGTTCAATTCTCGGATATCTCCTCTTTCATTTCCTTCCCATCGTCTAAACGACAGCCTTCCTTTCTCACATACGATACAATGTCTGGAGCCGTAGTAGATAGCCCGGCGGCGCTTCCCGCTGCTCCTGCTATTAAGAAGAAGCCAGTTTCCTTTAGCAATTTGTTACGTAGGTCTCTCCCCTCTGTAGCCTATCTTGTAGGCCGTCTGTCCCTCGGGTTGGTAGAGTTCTGAGACGTAACTGATTTTTCTGAAATATTTATAGTTGGTGCCGGATTAAACATGTTCGAGTAAGTGGCAGAAATTCGTGATATACAGGCGGGGTGAAGGGCGGTATAAAACAACTTGAGGCTGACTTTGGACCTTGACGATATGAAGAGTTACAACACTGGGTCAGGTATGCTATCATACGACCAATTCAATCTATCTGTGGCTCTATACTAACAACTCGGGTAGCCCTTAGAAGTTATCAAGGTATATCCAGTCTCGACATGACATCAGGCCGATAGCAAATACTAATACCATACCGCCCAATAGACGCACATGGCCGCCAACAGAGGAGATTCGCTGCCCAGTGCTATTCCCAAAATCTGGGCTAGAGGTGGTGTCTTTGGTTTCTACCAAGGTTTAATACCATGGGTTCGTCTCATTAAATCGTTGTGCTGGGTAATTGAAGCATATACTGATTTTTGGCGTTAGGCCTGGATTGAAGCCTCTACCAAGGGTGCCGTTCTTTTATTCGTTTCCTCTGAAGCTGAGTATGATAACGACGATATTCCTCATAAGCATACTTGACCAATCATATTCTAATACCAATACGCAGATATTACGCTCGCGCCGCTGGCGCCGCACCTTTCCTTTCAGGTATCACCGGTGGTGTCATCGGTGGTGTCGCACAAGCTTATGCCACCATGGGTTTCTGCACCTGCATGAAGACTGTCGAGATCACCCGTCACAAGCAAGCTTCCACCGGCGCAAAGCCACAGTCCTCCATGGCTGTCTTCATGGACATCTACCGTCGCGAAGGTATCCGCGGTATCAACAAAGGTGTCAATGCCGTTGCTATCAGACAGATGACGAACTGGGGTAGCAGATTCGGGTTGAGCCGTTTGGCAGAGCAAGGGATCAGGGACTTCACCGGCAAGGGCGAAAGGGATGCTTTGACGGCGGTTGAGAAAATTGCGGCATCGGCCATCGGTGGTGGCTTGAGTGCATGGAATCAGCCCATTGAGGTTATCAGAGTGGAGATGCAGAGCAAGACCGTTGATCCGAACCGGCCTAAGAACTTGACTGTGGTCAAGGCTTTCAAGTGAGTTTTTTCGCATACCCGAGGTTATGCAGGAACCAACATAAACTAACATGGGTTGACAGCTACATCTACCAAAACAACGGCCTAAAGGGTTTGTACCGGGGTGTCACTCCCAGAATAGGTCTCGGTATCTGGCAGACAGTTTGCATGGTTGGCCTCGGTGATATGTAAGTCATAGCATCTATGACCTCCGATAACATTGTTCGGCGGACACTAACTCGCGATGTAACTATAGGGCCAAGGAAGCCGTCGAAAAGCTCACCGGCGAGAAGGTTACAGCGAAGCACTAAATTATCCATTCGCTACCTAAATAAGTACTCGGGTACTTAAAACGACAACTCTCCTTACATAGTTGTCGTACGTTTATTGCCTGCGTAAGTACCTAAGTACTTCTGTGGTGATAAAATATATAAGGCTTCGAGGCGATATTTTCTTCTGAGTATATATTGTATATCCCGTCCGAGGCAGCTAACTAGATACCAGCCGCTACGGACGAGCATATATGTTTTATTTTGTAGCAGCGTTTCGATTCCCATGTCTTCTTTAAACTTCTTGCTACTTTTCTGTCTATATTCCTTCTTCTTTTTCTCTCTCTCTCCCATTTGATATGTTTTTAATGCGGGTTTAGTCAGGTTGGGGCAGATTCGAATAGACGGTGGTTCAAAAAAGTATACAAGTTCTTCATCAAGCTTCCAGCACTCTCACTTAGCTTTCCCAATAACCTCGCAACTGTAATATGTGGAAATACTATTCGGGTTCAGATATCACCATAGATTGTAGCTTGCTCAACTGCAACCTACTATTGAACCTAATTCAATATGAAGTATACGTACATACCTATACATGCATAATATATACAAAGTAGGTATATGGCACAATGCAATGCAACGAATCCGGTCGTTATCAGCCAACAGACAAGCAGCCAATAACGGCGCGTTGAGTGTTGTTGTCGTTTGTGAGTCTCCAAAACAGGCAATTTCTAGCTGGGCAAACAAATTCCGACTTGAAGCCGCTCTGGCTTCGAGTATAGCTTGAATTCATACACCTCAAACCACCACCAATACCTCCTAGCAGCAGGCAGCCAAACAATCACCCCTCCTCTCACATCATCTCTCCCTTTCCGGACCATTACTATATATACGTACTCCCATTCTTTCGAGTTCAGAAATCCTGGTTACAATCTATCCGGCGCACATAAACCGGTTCTCATTTGCATCAGCTTATGCACCCGACTCCGTTTGTAACACGAAGTCCGTTTATCTATCGTAGCTTGCTGGCCCTGTCACAAGCACAAGCTTCAACGTCGTAGCTCCTTATATATCAACAGCACAGCGTAACATGCGATAAACACAACAGGCGCACCATCTTTCATTCCTATACGTTCCTATAATTTCAGTTACACGATATATCCTTATCAATCGGAACTTGTTTCTTGGGGGCGTGGGTCGACCGGACCGATTGTTTATATAAATCTTATAACCGACCCTCATGAGTTACAATAATGCAGCTGGTGCTGCATTGCTTGACTGGGTATATACTTCTACTCCAATGGGCGGAAGCAATACAGCATTTTCACTAATAATTGTTTTCTTCTTATGTCAATAGATCAAGCTCTTTCCGATCGATGCCGATATATCCAATCTGGGCGACCTAGCAGACGGGACGGTAATAGGCAAATTACTACGTATGTGCCGAACCACAGAATGGAACTCTCAAATCTCAACACGTACTAATAGTGGAGGGGGTTGAATTTAGTTGATATCGATTACTACGCATTCCACGACGATGTCAACAAGGTGACACCGTCAGAACAATGGGTCGTTCGGTTCCAAAATCGTTAGTTTTAAAAAATCACCACTCCCCGGATTGCCTGTACAAGTCTTCTTTTTTATTTGTTTTTATCTTTTTTTATTTTATTTTTCTCCCGGATACCTCTAAACCTAATTACGGGATGCTATAGTTAAGAAGATCCATAAGGCCCTAGTACACTACTACACCTCAAACCTTCAACGACGTGCGCCGACATCCTCGAAGTATGCCCCGGATCTATTAGCAATTGCGCGGGAAGGGTCACAGCGGGAGCTTATCAAGGTGAATAACCATCTTGTGGTAGAAAAAGACCAACTATAGTTATTCTTCATACTAACGGAACAAAAATGTCACTAGCTTATTAAACTAGTCGTTTTCGTTGCCGTAGAGTCCGAACGGCGGGAACACTACATCACACAGATCCAGAAATTAAGCTCGACATCTCAGAATGAGTTTATGCTGGTCATTGCTCAGATGATGAAGTTGAACGAAGAGAATTCGGATGAAATGGATAAACAGGTTTTACATACGTATGCTTCCCAAGTACCGCCCTTTGCTAGGATAGTATATCGGTTTAACATAATGAATAGTTCCGAGACGGAGTTCCAGATGGAGGAGGAGATCAGCCGTTTGGTAACCGAGAAGGAATCGCTGGAGAACGAGCATAAGCAGCTCCTCGACCGCTTTAACAAATCTCAGTCATTAACCGAGGAGCTTCGAGTGGAGATACAGCACCTACAAGAGCGGTTGACCGATGGACCGGTTTCGAGTACGGGGCAGTCGAAGGCGGATATGGTATTGCATATACAACTGGATCAATTGCAAGCAGATGTGTAAGAGCCCCTTACCACCTAAAACCCAAGCCCTAGGCTATTCGAGAGCCAATTATTAATATTTCGGGTTTATAGTCACAAAATGGAAGACACGATCAGCGAACGCGATGCCACTATTTCCAATAACGAAAATACGATCAAATCTTTGAACCGTAAAGTCGATGACTTAACCCGCGCCTCGGACTACGTCGAAAAGCTCAAGGACGATCTAGATACCGCCCGGCACACTGTTGAAAAGCTTCGAAAGGAACAAAATGTCATGCAACATTATAAAAAGAAATTGGAAAGCATGCCAGAGTTGGAGAAGAGGCTCAAATTCCTTGAAGAGGAGAATACGATGATGCAAAGGGAGAATGTGCAGATGGAAGAGGCGATACGGTCAAATACTGGGGATAAGAAGTTAATTGGGACATATAAAAAGCAGATTGAGCGGTATGAAGCTGAGCATGCCGAGTTGCTTAAGGAGAAGCAGCGGCTCGAGCTTGAGAATGCGAGTATGAGGGAGGTGGTAGCGGGTGCGGAAGGCCAGAGAAGCAAAGATACTGAACATATTCAAACTCTGGAGGTCAAAGTTCAGGAACTGGAGAACGGGCTCATCGGCCAGGCGTCAGAGTCTATTCAGGGTGACTTGGATTCCGAAATGAATTTCAGAGGTGTTACAAAAACGGATCTTAAGTTGAGGATTAACAAGTTGGAAAGAGAGAACCAGCAGCTTAAGGAGACTGGGTTGAAGTCTGCAGATTCCCTGGTGTTCCAGAATTTGTTAGAGGATAAAGAAAAGGCGAGGTACAGGTTGGAACAGGATGTGCTTATCACTAATAGTGACAAGTTGGCACTAGAGGCGGAGCTAGCGGCTTTGAAAAATGGTGGGGATATTGATGAAAGGTATGATATTGTCATTCTGCACGGATTCTCGTCGCCCAGGTATTTAGAGGGCTTACAATTCTTCTACAGTTCCTCTATTGTCATCCAACTCCGAAAGAACATCCAAGAACGAGACAGGATCATCCAAGAAACCCGCAAGCAGCTCGACGACCGGCCACCGCTCTCGGTTAGCACTGGAGATGCCTCCATTAGCAAACTAATCAATGAGAAAGACGACCTTCAGCGAACGATCGCAGATCTTAAAGACACTCTATTGGACTCCGAGAAGGGTAATGGAGAACTCAAGGCCACTCTAGCGGCAATCGGGGGGTCGAGGGAGGGCCAACATGGTGAGCTTGAGAAAAGGGTGTTACAGCTTCAGGATAAACTTGAGGATAGGCGGGAGAAGGCAATCAAAGCCCGTGAGGTACGTTTAAGTTCAATTCTAAAAAGATTCTTTCTCTTGAAAGGAAAAGGAAAAAGAAAAACATAGAAATTGGACAAGTAACTGATCCCGGGCATGATAACATAGCATATCAAAAAGCAAAATACTACAATAAAGGAACTTCAAGATGAAATAGACACTGCTAGGACGTCAGACAGATCTGGAAAGAAAGGCGCCGATTACGAAACCCTGGCGGCTAGGAACGAGATTCTGATGAAAGAGGTGGACTTAATGACAAGTGCTTGGTATGATATCACCTCAAGGTTACAGTCGAATACTGTAACGCTGGGAAGAAGAAAGGAGGCGCCTGTGAGTTGGTTAGGCAAGCAAAGGCAGGCAGTTGCCAATTTCCCTGTAAGTTGATCACCACCTCCTAAGGTATTTGATAACATAATAGCAGCCTTAAGAACGCTGGGTATCCTAATTAGTATGGCAAAGCTAACAAGTATTACAGAAGCGGTAGAGAGTTTCATAACAATTACGTTCTGTTCATGATAAAATGCCCCGATATGTTGAGTTCTACACCTTCTCTTTGCAATTGTTTCTATTGGTTTGATGTGAAGTCGTTGTTGGCATGGGTTTTGGAGTTTCTGAACGTAATAGTAGCGTTTCCATCGATCTTTAATTTTTTTCATTTTTTACCTACTTCCCGACGTTTACTTTTCATGAGAGGTCCAATTAGAGAGTAGATATGATCAAATACCCCCCCGCCTTGTAATTGCTTCCTTTTCAATTCTTCTAGATGCTTTTTTGGTATATATACATTTTTTCTCCGTTAAATATTTCTCCCGCTTTCAAAACCATTAACCGCCCAAAAATGACACTTTTCTGCCTTTCCTTTTTTTTAAGCCGATAATTTTACAGTTTATAGACATATAATAATAATGATGATGATGATAGATTGGGTAGCGTGGTGACTTTTTGCTCTTCTCAGAAGCTCATGAAAATCCAACAATTATGTAATCCGTAAATACTTTTGATGTAGCCTGTTTTAGAAAGTGATAAGATGGGTGGTGGATGTATAGGCTGTGGACTACACCCATTCCACTGGCTCTTTTAGAACCTTGAGCAAGCGTTCTTCCCGGCTACCAGGAGTGGGCTCATGCATGTACTGCCACCTCGCCGTCAACGGCAAGGACATTAAAATCCTAGATCATACTATTAGTAAATTATTGTCTTTTGACGGCATTCGGTTCCAACTTACGACTCGACTCTTGCACCGGGTGTATTAAGACCGAAGCTAGTACCACGATCGTGAACTAGATTAAATTCCACATACCGACCCCTCCTCAGTTGCTGCCATTGCTTCTCAGCATCTGTGAACGGCATATCCTTCCTTCTCTCAATCACAGGCACATAACTCGGCAAAAATGCTTTCAGACAATCCTGTACAAACGAAAATAGTTGCTCAGGATCTTTATCATCCAGGTCATCAAAGAAGATTCCACCGACTCCACGACACTCCTCTCTGTGTTTCACGAAAAAGTACTCGTCGCACCATTTCTTGAATTTTGGGTAGTAGTCCTTGTCATGCTTATCGCAGGCATCCTTGATTGTCTTATGAAAGTGGATTGCGTCTTCGTCAAAGAGGTAGGAAGGAGTGAGGTCTGTACCGCCGCCGAACCACCATGATTGGGATGTTCCATCTGGGTTCATCGTTTCGAAGTATCGATAGTTGAGATGCACAGTCGGTGCATTGGGATTATGAGGATGCAAAACCATGCTCAATCCTGCCGCGAAAAAGTCCAATGGTTCACCAGTAGGTGAAGCAATGTTTTTATGATCCACTCTCATCTTCTCAACGGCAGCCGGTGGCAGCTTCCCGTAAACAATTGAGATGTTTACACCGGCCTTTTCAAAGACATTTCCATCTTGAAGGATGCAGCTTATACCACCACCACCGTGAGAACGCTCCCATGTATCGACTTGGAAAGGTTTTCCGTCAATGGCACCGAGAGTGGCGATTATTTGAGATTGTTGATCTTTGATAAACTGTTCCATACGTAGGCGCATGGGAGAGTCTGGAGTTACGCCATTGTCGTATTTCTACTAGCGAGCGAGAATGTGTGAGTGAACAGACTTTTAGAGAAATAAGAAGCCAATACTTCAGAAACTGGGGGGGTAGGAGGAGAGCGCTACCGTTTTCTGATCCTGCTGATTGATCGGGACCGGGCTTTTTTTTGAATCGCATTGTATCCTCGGTGCAGACTACCGCGGTAGGTTAGGCAAATTTGTCCGAACTAAGATATGCATATTCCCAAGCCATGGGCATGGAGAGAATATCAAACAAATAGGGAACTTTTCGTACATATTGCCAATAACTCAATCCCAGAGCAGCCGCACCAGCAGCTGCTGTAGCCGCTAGTTTCGAAGAACCCGACCATTGTGAGGGATTGAGAGTGACATGTGACCATGTCGAGGTTAGCCTGCGACCGGAGATGGTCGGGACTGAGCGGCGGAGGGGGTGCTGCGCATTCCGGAGCAGAGCTGTGGACGAAGAGGTCCGAAACGGCTTCATTGTTCTTCGGGACCCTTCTAGCTAACTTGAATCGACAATTGGCGAGCAATTCCCAAGCACCAGGATTCCTCTTGAAGTTGAAGTCCCTTGAATCGCAAGGTCGGAAATTCCGCAAATAGAAAGGCCGGGGGACAATGGGATTCGATCCACGGAACAGAAGTGCCGCTGGGAGAGACGGTTGGAATTGGAGATGGAAGGATCGTTTGGATCGGAATGCAGAATTATTTATATCTCAGAAGTACGGTGCACTTAACTTCAGAAGCTTTGTCGGCCTCGGCCAGAACCGGCGTGTTAAGTGTCGTGTAAATCGCGTGACATTTTTGGCAGACCAGCCGATTTCTCCAACACTTCGCAACACATTCTTACTTTCTTTGCGTTACATATACAAACTACAAGATTAAGACCCGTTCTCGGTTTCTAAAGGTCTCCACTTCTGCGGTTCTGCAATATTGCAATTTTGTCAATATGCATCTGTCGAAAGAGGGCGAATTGCAATGCTAAACAGGAATGGTTCCATTTTGTAGCTCGAGACTAAGGCGAGGCCCGTGCCGTAGTGGGACTCTCTAGCTGGCTCGAACGGCCCTAAGATCTTTTATCTCTCGACCATTTCGCAAACCATGCATGAGGCATCCTGCACCGTCAATCACTCGCACACAGGAGTACTCGAGGCTATCGATAGAAAAAAACTGAAAGGAATTGAAGGGGCGTCGATTGTTCCTCGAAGTCCTGTCAAAAATTGAAAAAAAAAGAAGAGAAAAGGAGGGAAGGATTTGAAAGAGTGAAAGCAAGAAAAGGATCAGGCTGCATGATTCTCACGATAGTTTAGAGACTAGTAGGTTAGGCGATTTAGCGCTCAAGGTTTTCCAGCCTCGTGAGTTCTGAATGGGCACTGTTCAATGCAAGAAATCAGGTTCTTGATGTTACAGAACAGCAATCGAGACTAGCTCGAGTCTACAAACCGCGATACTTATCAGTAGGAAGGGTCCAGGCCTCGAGTTTTCCTGTATGACGATGGATACCATGAATGATGGAATGCATTGAACTGAGGCAGAAGACACCCGTTCAAGCCCAATTGGCTGTGTGAAGATTAAAGATCTTTGATCATTGGCAGAACTACTATGCAGCATGCAGACAGATATTTTTTATACGAGATTGCGAGAGCTAATGGGTTTGTCGACCCCGCACAGCTGCACAGAAGGAATTCCAGTTGAGACAGGACACACACGTTCAGTGGATTAATAGGACTTCTGTGTAACCACCAGCAGGTGCCAGGCGGATATAAATATCAGACGAAAGTGCCTTTCGAGTTACACTCTTTGACTTCTCTTCCGTAGCAAGCTTACTGCTAAATTCCCAAGATACCTCACATAAAAGCCTCCTAGGATCCTTCTCTACCATTTTATAATTGCCGAATATAGTTTTTCATATACCTCCTGCGAAGATAAAAATGCCGCGCCGTAAACCGCGCTTTCCATCGCCCCGTGCGATCCAACCTTCCAACCCATTCTCCATCCTAAAGAAAACCTCGAGACGTCCGTCTCGATTTTTTCGAAAATTAAATGATCCTGTTCGCGGGGGAGAACCGGGGTTAAATCCAATACATTCTCCATCCTGATGGTTGGGGTTTTAGGTCTTGCGATATGCAAGATCTGGTCTGGGGCGGGCTTTGTTCGAAAGCGAAGCCCGCGACTGTGCATGCTACGGTGTGCCAGTGCCAATGTCAAGTTACAAAGCAACCTGGGTTGGCTGTTCGACGTGGTCCCGCTGGCAAACCTTGGATAATTAGGCAGCTAGGTCAATATAGTCACTATATATTGGCCTGGTGCCGGATCGTTCAAAGAGATTTTTTCAAAAAGAGCTGTGCTGCGACTTTTTTTTCTTTTTATTTTTGAGATGAGATCTCTCCCTTCCTTCCTTTTCTTTTTGGATGTCTATATCAACATATCCAGAGGACGGTGATATCCACTAGTCGGAGAGATTAAAAAAGAGGAAGTGCACCATGTCCCGGCGGAATGGTCTCATTTCTATCTAGATTTCTCGGGTTTGACGAGAAATCTTGAGGGTAGCGTGGGTGGCGCTGGGGGGCTCCACAGCTTGGGTTCGCCCCCCGCGCTGTTCAAATCGGTGGTTCGGTTGGAGTATTACTGAATATCAGTAACAGAAGGTATAGTGAATATAGACGTTTACCTTCGTTAGATATTCTCGTGGTTGGGTCATTATATCTCATAACATGCTGGTTATCTCCTCAATTTATAACTTGCACTTACACTATAGTACTATATACATCTTGTCCACCTTATTAAGGTTTCAGATAACTCACTTAACTTATGTCATTATTAACTTTGTCTTTTTTGATATGTATACTAGGGACTCTTTTATTTGTTTTCTAGGTCGATCTAAAGGCAGCCCTTGGGAACGGTTCACGGTTTATTGTACAATAGAGGAAAATATGGTCATTTACCTTCGTTAGATATGTAAAAGTTAATTTTACTTGACAATTTCTCAGAGAAACAACTATATGAAACATACGAATATAGAATAGGCACGGCCGAGTTGGCCAATTGGACGTTTAGTGCCCCGTACCATGATAGACTGTAGGCGCGTTTTCAAACCTTAAACCAGATATCGATATCAACGATATCATAATCCTTGGGAGTGGGATCTGATCGCATTCTAGATGAGCCTAGTCAGTCTAGACCTGGTTTCTGGAGAAGGTGCCAGCTAGACATCATGCATCATGCTAATTCCCCTAGAAGTTTGGAGCGCGCGCAAATGTGGCCAAGTAGTTACGTATCTAGATAAGGAATTGCACATCCTCAATTGAGATTACTCGAAAACAGATATCGAAATTTCAAAATCGACATTCCTTGCATCCTATGATCTTAAACGTGGATATTCCAAACTTCCATTATCGGAATTTAGATGTGAAGGGCTGTGCTATAGAATGCGGCGCTATCTAGTTAAAAATGAGCTACCATCCGCGAACCGGCAACCTCGTACGTACTTTAATTAATTGAACAGTTTCTTTTTTTCCTTCGATTGTCAGTAATTGATGCGTATCTGCATCCATGCTAGTGTATCTAGGTTCGCGATTACATAGAAAAACACAGCAGAGGAATGTATGGTCCATGCATGTCGTTTCCCACTACAACGGGTTAATATCGAAGAAAGATGAATACAGCATATATAGTTAGTTGTAAGTGTATTATTCTGAAAAAAAAAATTTGAAAAAAAAAGAGGGAAAAAAGACATCAGATATTTAGATACTTCACTCATTGATCGCTTGACCTTCAGGCATAACTTCGGTCCCGAGAATATAACAGGCTCCAGGCATCGTTGGTTGCCGGTTTGAGGAACCCATAAGATCTAGATCTCAGGAAATACTCCTAAAAGCATTTCAGCCACCTATTGCGCTAGCAGCTGCTCCTAGCCTTGACTGTAGACTAAGGAATTTTAGCAAGGTGGTTCCGAGGAGAAGCTCCTCGAGTAATAATGGTATACGTCAAGACTTTGAATACGTATCGAGAGGTTTGTAAAACATGAACTAAACTTCAGTGATATCTGATTGGCAATGATGTTAGAAGCACCTGAGGATACCATACCCAGTCGGCATTTGAAACTTTATTGGTAGTGTTGTATTTTCGCCTATGCTTGATTAGGTACCGTGCAGTGTAGTGCAGTGATCATGTCGAGGATGCCGGATGGGTGCTTCCTTGTTTATAAATTTAAGTGCTTAGATTCAGTGGTGGATTATATGAAACCCCATTCAGAGATTCGATATACGTAACTTTTGTATCTCTTATTTTAAACATCGTTCCTACAGAGGCCGATAGAAGAATCCAGCATCTCACGACCGGCTTAGAGTTTATCGACGGCGAGATTATTATATTATATTATGTTATAACGTTACCCTGGTACGGATGGGCTGCGACAGCTGAGGGAACATGATATATTATATCGATACCCAGATGGGAAAATACCTATGTAGATGCATGATGTAAGATTATATTGTGAATTGGATTATTTCTAGACCGGAAACTAGTCCTTGACGTCCGACGTATGTGTATGGCACATGGGGTTTTCTTCATCTGTTTAGATGTTTAGATACAATCTATCGAGCTATTACACCATCTACGTAGACTACGAAGTAGTGATCAATTTTTGACCGAGACAAGATTGTAAAACGAAAGAAATACTCCAGAGTATCGATATCGATGCATATCTTGCAGCTATTTCGATTATTCAGCTGATGGCCAAAGCTTATCTCGTGAAGTCAAAACCGCACTAGTACGATAATGATCTAACTCGGACCAAAGCCGCTCTGATATATGAATCATAGTACACCTCCTCCACACACAAAAAAGCATCATGACGAGTACTGCAAGTCAGATTTCTGGGTGATTATCGATTAAACTGATTTGATCAAGCAGAGGAGATTAATTCGACGTTGATGTTGGGACTTGCACTGGGAGACTTACTATAGCTATATTACACTATATGAATCGTTCAATATAAATATTAACTAGAACCAACGATTCTTCCTAGAAGTGACTAGCCCAGTTTACGTACCGCTAGAAGAGGTTAGAAATCAGGAATCAGAAATTAGAAATTAGAAATAGAAATTAAAAGAAAATGAGTTGCTGTGATCAGACAGTGCGTGGTGAGTGTGATTAGCGGAGCGTCCCCGTGATTACGTATCACGCTGCTGTGCTGTGCTGTGATTCTTAATAAAGCAAAGCAAGCTCCCTAAACTCTCTCTCTCTCTCTTCCTTTCTCCCTCCCCTATATTATAATATACCGACAGACAGTCCATCGCTCTGCATAATCACCACCATCATCATCACCACACACACACCCTTTCCAGTAAGTTCCGGCTCCATCTTTGTCATCGTCGTTATATTGCCATCCAACCCAACCCTGCACTGCCGTTTTGTGCGGTGACTCGACGAGCTACCTTGCTACCTTGCTACCTTGCCTAGTCAAGTCCCAAATACCAAGTACTTTACTGGTAGTCTTCCCGAGCGCGTTTGCAAGCCGGGCCGACGTACTCAGCAGGGCTGCAGCCAGGCTGTTTGCATAGGAACAAAGGTGCCCTGCAGAGACGCCTAGGGATTCGATAGTGATCGACCCCGCCCCCCTCATCCCTCGTTTCCTCGTTTCCCCATCACTGCACCCTCCCACCCATGACTAATTCCGCTGCCTACATCATTCCCTGATTACCCAGCTTCTGTCTCTGTCTCTCTCTCACCCAGCCCTTTTTCTACCCTTCTACGTTTCTACTTCTACTTCCTCTTCCACTTCCTCTTCTTCCCTTCTTTCCTTCTTCCTTTCCTCCCTTCCCTAATTTCTTACCTCTCCACCTTTCCTACACATACAAAGAAACTCCATCAAACTACCTCCGACCACTTTGTGCTAACTCGACAGCTCTCAACTCAACCTTCCCCAGACCTCAAAGCTACCACCACTACAAACCTCCGAAAACCCCCAGTCCTCCAAACCAACTCTACAAAAATGGCACGATCAAAGTTTAAGGACGAGCACACCTTTGAGAAGCGTAAGGCTGAGGCCGAGCGCATAAGACAGAAATACACCGATCGTATTCCCGTATGTACTGACATCATCACTATCCGAATTTGGATCCTTCTCTAACCGACACCCAAATCTATAGGTTATCTGTGAAAAGGTAGAAAAGTCCGACATCGCCACCATTGATAAGAAGAAGTACTTGGTTCCTGCCGATCTTACGGTCGGCCAGTTTGTATACGTAATTCGTAAGCGTATCAAGCTGTCTCCCGAGAAGGCCATCTTCATCTTTGTTGATGAAGTCCTACCTCCTACTGCCGCTCTCATGAGCTCTATCTACGAAGAGCACAAGGATGAAGACGGTTTCCTCTACATCACGTACGTTCTGCTCTGAAATAAACACTCCCCGATAAAATAAAATAAAAAATACAAAAAAAAGTTAATGCGCAAAACGACTAACGTATCCTCTAGATATTCCGGCGAAAACACCTTCGGCTACGAGTACCTTGCCTGAATCCTCAAATCCGGTATCTGACCGAGCGGATACGAAAGGGGGGGAAACGTGGTAATGAAATAACGTCGGTTTTTGTTTGGGAATCAATAGGGGGGTCTAGGTCCACGGGGTGCAACAGGAATAGCGGGAAATATTGGGGTTTGCCTTGGATTTTGTTACTCTTCGTCTTTGTCACTCTTGTAACTCTTATGTATACGACAATGATAACTTGTGTCCCGTTGTTTCTTTTTCCTTTTTCTTTTCGGGTCTTCCCCTGGAGTCCTTTATTCCTCTTCTATGCCTGCTTTCGTTCTTCCCGTCCTCCTTCAACTGCTACTTTGGAGTTTTTTCTGACACTCACGAAAAATGATCATTATCGTGAAACCCGGGAAAGGCGTTTGAGGAGATATAAACTTGATATATAAAAAAAAATGCAAATAATCAGGGTCTTTTTTCTCCATGTTGCATGTTATCATAGTGCTTCCTACATCTATAATTACCAATCAAGTCCTCGATCTACTCCGCAGGTACAATATCATAGAAACCATGCTGAGTATCAACAAGCTTTCTTCTTATTTTCAAAATAGGAAGTCCCTTGCTTGCTTCACTGCTCAGTAGTCGTATCATGCATTCTAGCTCTAGATCATAGGCCATGTTCGAGTAGTTTGAAATTAGAGTCTTAAGTGTGGAGATCCTGGGTGACGCGTTGGTGGAGAGCTGTGGTCGGCAGCTTGCTAACGAGCTTCCAACGACGCCTGGCTTCCTCAGTTCCACCACCTCCCACTTATCTCCACCTCCACCGCCACCTACCATCCGATATTCGTGCCTTCTCCATCAAAGAATAGCAGTTTCAACATCGAAATTAGCTGCAGAATAGATCCTCTGAATCATAATCCCCGGTATCCTACGTGTGCTGTATCTAGCTCGATAACCTCGGATTACGACGACCCAAAGTTCGAGCTTCACCTAGGCATCATCAGCTCAGCCTTCAGTATCCCCTTCTAAGCCCCCGGCTCTCCCCTTCTCCCGTATTCATTCTCTCATCTATCTATTATATCATCGAAGATGCCGGCAACAACAACCACCGAAACCATCTCTATAGTCTCCCAATCTACCGTCTCCGTCGCCCCACTCGTCCTCCTCTCCGTCTGCGATCACTACGGACGTACAGCAAAGGGCACCAAAAACCGCGTCGTCGGTGTACTTCTAGGCCAGAATGTCGGTGAAGGTCGTCTCGTCCGAGTCACGAACTCCTTCGCTGTCCCCTTCGAGGAAGATGATAAGGATCCATCAGTATGGTTCCTCGACCACGACTACGTCGAGAGCATGAACGACATGTTCAAGAAAGTCAACGCCCGTGAGAAGCTTATCGGGTGGTATCACAGCGGGCCTAAGCTACGAGCCTCGGACTTACAGATCAACGAGCTTTTCAAACGATACACACCGAATCCTTTATTGGTTATTGTAGATGTGGATTTGCAGGGTGTCGGTGTGCCCACAGATGCCTACTTTGCTGTGGAAGAGATCAAAGATGTATGCTTCATTGTGGAATATTCTTACTTTTTTATTTTTTATTTTATCTATATATCTTGATTAGAATGCTAACGCGGGCCCCACCAGGACGGTACAACGACAGCCAAAACCTTCGTCCACACCCCCTCTATCATCGAAGCCGAAGAAGCCGAAGAAATCGGTGTGGAACACCTCCTCCGTGATATTCGCGACGTCGCCCAAGGAACTCTCACAGCTCGTATCGACGCCCAGCTAAAATCCCTCCAGGGCATGCATCACCGTATTGGCGGTATTGCCGCATATTTGGACAAAGTCATCGATGGTCAACTCCAACCTAACCACAGCATACTAGGTCACTTGCAGGATGTATTCAACCTATTACCCAACCTGTCGACGCCGACGGATATCGATGTCGAAGGCGAGGGTAGCTACGGGGAGAGTAATGAACTTGCAAGGGCGATGAGCGTGAAGACGAATGATCAGTTGATGGCTATCTATCTGAGTGGACTGATCAGAGCAATCATCGCATTCCACGATTTGATCGATAATAAAATTATGAATAGGCAATTAGCAGAGGAGAACGAAAAGGAAAAGGAAGGGAAGAAGGAAGAAGGCGAAGGTGAAAAGAAGAAAGAGGAAGGTAAGGACACGAAGGAAGGAGAGAAGTCGAGTCCGAAGGCCGAGAAGAAGTAACTGGCTAGTTAGCAATTTCGAAGGATATTTTTTTCGTGGGTGTAGAATAAGTCTATATGATATAGAAGACATCAAGCGCTCCAAAGCACGGGCAGCGCCCGTGACCATTTTACGTATTTTCGAAACCGTTATTTTACATTTCGTTTATATCGAAGCCACCCTCCACCGTACATACACACATACCCACTTATGATACTTACTACTTAAGTACTATAGGCACCCAAGTAAGGAAGTCGCTGGGTCAGTGCCGAAAACAGGTTGTGTTGTTCCAAGCCAACCGCGCCTATAAAAATTTCGTTCGCCCGTGAAAACTCGTTTCCTTTTCTTCTTCTCTCTTCACTCATTTTCAGGACACGAATATCAACTATTAAAACAGTATTTATTGTAGTAGAAACCCTTTTCTCCAACAGGTTCTACTCTACTTCGTATCCGAGAACAATTTCTTAATCTTTTGAGAATTCGAGCCATAGCTGGAGCGGGTCAGTGTAGGTGTCTTATTTTGGGCTCTGCGCGATGAGATCAGTTGTTCCTTACCGATGGTTTCGACATACCTTTGTATTCGTATACATACATGTACATGTACCTGCCTAAGTAGATATTTCTCGTGTCAAGACTCGTAGCTTATCAAAAGTGAATATACTATTTTCCATTTACCATGGACACCGTTTCCCTAAGTATATCGTAGATAGGTCTAATTTCGACGGAATCTCCAAAACTCAACACGTGCGAGATATCGATGATTCACATGATCATTATCAGATTACCATACCAGGTCACTGACGCTGCTGACAAAATTTCCTGCGTCATGCATCGATGACCAATCTCTACTAGTTGCCACGGTTTCTACATGCTCAACCATAAGGACTCGCAATGAATAGGCCTAAATAGAGGAAGGGAGGGAGAAAATTGAATAAATTTCGTGAGAATGATACACCCGTCTTATTATTAGATCGTAAATAGTACAAACAAGAAGAAAGTAAAAAGTCCTCCCTTTATCAAAAAAACAGGGGATTGTTGTGAAAGAAAGGAATAACTTTTGGTGTCTTTCATCTCAAGGGAAAACATGCATAGCAAAGCTAGTTAAGAATTCTAATCATAGGAAGGGTGTTATCGATTCGTGAGGATAGTGGAGAATTTTGGGTATATTAGGTATTTAAGTAGTTAAAATGGTAGTATGCAGGGTAAAGGGAATTTAGAGGGTGGCGCCGACGAGCTTAGCATAGTGCTCAGTGCTGAAGGACTTTGGTCGCTCAATTGGCATACCGACAGCACGGTCAATGATCAGCTGTGGCAGGACACCCAAGGCACGGGAGACACCGAAGAGGACGGTGTAGAAGCTAGACTCAGTCATGCCGTAATATTGGAGGAGAACACCGGAGTGAGCGTCAACGTTAGGGTATGGGTTCTTGGTCTTTCCGTGCTCAGTCAAGACACCAGGGGCAATCTTGTAGACCTGGCTGACCAACTTGAACATGGGGTCTTCTGGGAGCTTCTTGAGGGCGAATTCACGTTGAGAAACATATCGGGGGTCGGTCTTGCGGAGAACAGCATGTCCGTATCCAGGAACGACTTGGCCGCCGTTGAGAGTATCCCAGAGGTACTTCTTGATAGCCTCATCGCTGAGATCGTTTCCGATCTTCTCCTTCATCTTGAAGAGCCAGTTCAAGACTTCCTGGTTGGCAAGTCCGTGGAGAGGGCCAGCGAGACCATTGAGACCAGCAGCGAAGGACAACATTGGAGAGCTCAAGGCACTACCAACCAAGTGGGTAGTATGAGCAGAAACGTTACCACCCTCGTGGTCGGAGTGGATAGTAAGGTACAATCTCATGAGCTCAACGAAGTCCTTGTTCTCGCCATATCCGAGCATGTTAGCCAAGTTGAAACCATAGTCCTTATCCTTCTGAACAGCAACGACCTTTCCGCCCTTGAAAACATTCTGGTAGATCCTGGCAGCAATGGTGGGGAGTTTGGCAATGAGGTCCATTGAGTCCTCGAAGTAATAAGTCCAGTATTCTTTCTTGTTGATACCCTTAGCGTAGGCCTTGGCGAACGAAGACTGATGCTCAAGGGCGGTGACGGCGAGAGAGAACTGAGCCATTGGGTGGAGGTCGGTAGGACATCGGTCAATGAGCTCCTCGACGAACTTGGGAAGCTCAGCACGAGCAGCCCATTCGGCGGACAAGCCACGGACCTGCTCAGTGGTTGGGACCTCGCCTGTCAAGAGTAACCAGAACAGACCTTCTGGGAGAGGCTCCTCGCCACCTTCGGCCTTGGGTAGGACCTCCTGGCATTCTGGGATCTGTATAGGTACAAATAGCTAGTCAGACACGGATGTATGTAAGTACCAATTGGTAGGAGGAGAGCACATACAGTCTTTCCTCGGAATCTAATACCCTCCTCGGCGTCCAAGACAGAGCCCTAGGTAGACATGATTTATTAGTACTAGGACGAGATGCGAAGATGCATAATTTAGCAAAGTAACGATACTTACCTCCCAGACTAAGCTCTTGATACCACGGGCACCACCATAGACCTGTTCGAGTGTAACCTCACCAAGAACTTTGCTTCCGTGTTCTCTAGAGTTAAAGAGCGCTGTTAGCATTCCGGCACCTCAAATACCGGTCGATCCGAGGTAAATTTTAACACACTTCTTTAACTTCTTGATCTTCTCAATTTCTTGAGGGATCTTTTCAGCAAAGGTATCTTTAAGCGACTACAAAGTGAATAATACGAAATCGGTCAGTTTATCTCAAGCC